TATATAACATAATAAAATATAAAAGAATATGCTGTTTTACCTGGTTTCCCACCCTCCCTCTCTCTCCCCAGGGATGCCATCGTGGCTGACCTGGACAAGAAGATGGCCAAGAGTGTGGACGTGGCCAACACGACATTCCTGCTCATGGCAGCCTCCATCTACTGCCACGAGCAGAACCCCGACGCTGCCCTGAGGGCCCTGCACCAGGGGGAGAGCCTGGAATGGTGAGTGCAGCCCCCCTGTAATGGTGAGTGCAGCCCCCTGTAATGGTGAGTCAGCCCCCCTGGAATGTGAGTGCAGCCCCCTGAAATGTTGAGTGCAGCCCCCCTGGTTTGAGTGAGTGCAGCCCTGCTGGATGGGGTGCAGCCCCCCTGGGAATGTGAGTTGCAGCCCCCTGGATTGGTCCCCCTGGATTGTGAGTGCAGCCCTCTGGAATGGTGGGGCAGCCCTCCTGGAAATGGTGGTGCAAGTCCCCCTGATGGTGAAGTCGCCGCTGGATGTGTGCATCCCCCTGGAATTGAGAGGCACCCCCCCTGGGATGTGAGTGCAGCCCCCCTGAATTGAGTGCAAGTCCCTCCTGAATGGGGGTGCAGCCCCCCTTGATGTGAGTGCAGCCCACCTGGAATTGAGTGCGCGCTCCTGGAGGTGGGGCAGCCCCCCTGGTTGTGAGTGTCAGCCCCCTGGAATGTGAGTGCAGCCCCCCTGGAAAATGGTGGGTGCAGCCCCCCTGGAATGTGAGGCAGCCCTCGGAATGGTGGTGCAGCCCCCCTGGATGGTAGAGTGAGCCCCTGGAATGTGGTGGCGAGCCCCCTGGAATGAGTGAGTGCAGCCCCCCTGGAATGTGGGGCAGCCCCCCTGGAATGTGTGCAGCCCCCTGGAATGGTGTGCACCCTGGCTTTGGGGAGGTGGGTGCGCCCCCGGGATGGGGGCACCCCGATGGAATGTGAGTGCAGCCCCCCTGTATGGGCGCTGCAGCCCCCCTGGGATGGTGGGTGCAGCCCTCCCGGGGCTCCCTGTGCCCCAGGAAGGGCAGGGTGGCCCTGGCTGGGCCTTGGCCTGGCTCAGAGGAGCCTCAGGAGCACCAGGAAGCTCCTCAGGGGTTTGGCTTCCGAGGGGTTTGGTGCTCCCCTGGGAATGTGGGAGCCTGGGGATGGATCCTGGCAAGCTCTGGCTGCTGAGATGGGCAGTGTGGCAGGGAGGGAGCTGGGAGCAGCCTCCCAGGCTCAGCCCAGGGAATCACACAGTGATTTGGCTTGGAAAGACCTTAAAAATCATCCACCAGCATGTCCAACCTGGCCTGGGACGCTCCCAGGGATGGGGCAGCCACAGCTCCTCTGGGAGATCCATTCCAGGGCCTCATCCTACAACCCCCTGAGCTGGATCCCAGCAGGATCCTGGAGTCCAGCTGTGGAAATCCCTGTTCTCTTGTTCCTTCCAGCATGGCCATGATGATCCAGATCCTCCTGAAGCTCGACAGGCTCGACCTGGCCCGGTGGGTTTGTCTCCCTTTGCTCTCTGGTGGTGTTTGTGTGGGAAGAGCCTCGAGGGAGGGAAAATCCAGCTCCTGCAGTGACACAACCACGGGTGGTTTTGCTCCTCAAGTTGCAAAACCAGAGCTGGGAATGGCCAAAGGCAGGGCTGGACCTCGAGGTTTTGGGTCTTCCCTTCAGCAGGACGTGGTGGGAATGTCTGGGGAAGTAAAACAGGGAAGTGTCTCATGGATTGTTCCAGTGAAATATTGAGGGGTTTGTCACGTTCCCAGCTGGGAGGAGAAACCACAGCCCTTTGGTTGGGTCTTAGAGGAGTTGTTTTCTTTCTCTGGTGTGACTCCATCTCCTGCAGGAAGGAGCTGAAGAAGATGCAGGAGCAGGATGAGGATGCAACTCTGACCCAGCTGGCGACTGCCTGGGTGAACCTGGCCGTGGTGGGTACCTGGGACAGGGATCCCTGACCTACAGCCCCCAAAAAACCACGACAGCTCCTGTTCCTGGGGGCTCTTTTCACGTCCTGGTTCCAGCAGAACACCCAGGGCTGAGTTTTTAACCCACAGAACATTTTGGGGGGGGTTGGTTTCACAAACCCACCGGCTGGTCTGGTGCTCTTCCTCCTCACAGGAGGAGCTGAACCACAGTTAAATAACCCCCCAGACATCCCAGGGTGGGAATGCTCTGCTCCTGCTTCCCAGGCTCCAAGAAAAAAGCATCTTCCTGTGCTTAGAGCAGCCTGTCCTTAAGCACATTTGTGAATCAGAACATTCAGCTTGGCAGGCCAGATTGAAAATAAAACCCCTAAAATTCATTGAAGTCCAAGGTTGCACAGGAAACAACCTGTTGGACCATCAAAACTATTTCTTTTTGGAGTTCACTTGGTTTTTGGTGTGAAACCTCTCATGTGTAGCCCTGGCCTTGAATCAGTGTGTGGCTGGATTTTCCTCAAGGTCTTGGTTTCCATGAGGAATCCCACCTCTAACTGGAGCAGCCACTGCATGTAGAACCTTCCTGGATCTAGAACCTTCCTGGATGGAGAACCTTTTGAGAAACCCAGGTGTTTAATTATAAAAAAAAAAATCATAAGAACCTCATTTCACCTCCTTTGTTACGTCAGACACGTGAAGTGGTTCTTTTGAAGTGACTTTGTTGGTTTTTTTTCCTTTCTGAAGACAAGCCTGGCTCATTTGATCATTTAAGTGGTTCTTAATATTTAATATTTATGCATTTCTTTGATCTGCTCTGGCTGCTGTGTTGTGGTGCAGGAGATCACAGGGAGTGTTGGTGCTCCAGGATTTCCCTTTGTAACCTTTAGAAATTAACTTTGCCCCCGGTGCTTCAAGGTTCTGGGGGCTTCTTGGCAGCAGGTGATGAGCCTGGGGGTGTTTTGCAGGGTGGGGAGAAGCTCCAAGATGCTTATTACATTTTCCAAGAGATGGCAGACAAGTGTTCCCCCACCCTGCTGCTGCTGAACGGGCAGGCTGCCTGTTACATGGCCCAGGGCAAGTGGGAGGACGCCGAGGGAGTTCTCCAGGAGGCCCTGGACAAGGTACTGCCTGCTCTTGCCACCTCTCAGGGGGGGGCTGGGGAGAGCAGAGGGGGCTTTCACCGGGAAAATTCATGGAAATGCCAGTGGAGGGATCGGTGTCGCTGAGGGTGGGGCTGATCGTGGAACCCCAGGGTGGTTTGGGGTGGAATCCCTGGATAATTTGGGGTGGAATCCCACGATGGTTTGGGGTGGAATCCCTGGCTGGTTTGGGGTGGAATCCCAGGATGATTTAGAGTGGAATCCTTGGCTGGTTTAGGGTGGAATCCCAGGATGGTTTGGGCTGGAATCCCAGGATGATTTAGGGTGGAATCCCAGGGTAATTTGGGGTGGAATCCCTGGCTGGTTTAGGGTGGAATCCCAGGATAATTTGGGGTGGAACCCCAGGATGGTTTGGGTTGGAATCCCAGGATGATTTAGGGTGGAATCCCTGGATGATTTAGGGTGGAATCCCAGGAAGGTTTGGGGTGGAATCCCTAGCTGGTTTAGGGTGGAATCCCAGGATAATTTGGGGTGGAACCCCAGGATGGTTTGGGCTGGAATCCCAGGATGGTTTAGGGTGGAATCCCAGGATAATTTGGGGTAGAATCCCAGGATTGTTTGGGTTGGAATCCCTGGCTGGTTGAAGGTGGAATCCCAGGATGGTTTAGGGTGGAAGGACCTTGAAGGTCATGGAGTTCCCCCCCCTGCCATGGTCAGGGACACTTCCCATTATCCCAAATTGCCCCAGCCTGGCCTTGGACACTTCCAGGGATCCAGGGGCAGCCACAGCTTCTCTGGGAAAACCCATCCCAGCCCGTGTCCACCCTCCCAGTGAGGAATCCCCCCCACTATGCCCACCTAACCCTCCCTGGATTGCTGAAGCCATTCCCTGCTTCCTGATCCCTCCTCCCTCTGTCCTTCCTGTGCCCTCCCTGTTCCCCATTCCAGCGCAGGGGTTGGCAGGCTGTTCCTGCAGGCGTCGATCCCAGCACTCAGGCTTTGTTCCTTGCCAGGACAGATGGCCACCCTAGACCCTCCTGAACATCGTTGTGCTCTCACAGCACCTGAAAAGGATCCGGAGGTGATGCCGCGTTGTCGAGTTTTTGGGATTCTCGTGTTCCCCAGCAGGATCTGGAATATTTCTCTGGTGCGAAGCTCACACCCCTAAAGGAAGAGTTGTGAAATACAGAGAACATGTGCATGTTGGACAGGCTTGAGCAACCTGGGAAATCGTCCTGCCCTGGAAGCGGCTTGGATTAGAGATGATCTTAACGGTCCAAACCATTCATGACATTGAGCAAGGAAGCCTGCGCAGAAGAAATACACTTAGTCAAGCTCAGCTCCTGCATTTCTTTCACTTTAACAACGATTTCAGCTTTATTAAGTATTTTATAATTATATTTAGGGGTGTTGATTTATATTATTACAGCCTCGGTCTGACTGGGTATTTTAAAAGATCTTACCTGTTTACTGGGGCTCTACTGGGACACATAAAAAGCATTTGGCGAACAAACCCTTTGAGGGGTGATTTGTTGCACTTTTGGCTTTTCCTCCTGTTATTTGAACATTTAACTTTGGTTTTTTCCCCCCACCAGGTCACGAATCGTTACCTGTCGCAGCTGAAAGATGCTCACAAAAACCACCCCTTCATCAAGGAGTATCAGGCAAAGGTATAGAACAGAACAGGATGGAAATAAATGATATGAAGTTGAATTTATTTGGCCTCAGATCCAGTTGTGATGGGGCCAGTGGGTTCTGGCCTGAGGGGGCAGCTCCATGTCCCTGCCCTGTCACTCTTGAGTTAAATTTTCCAGCCCTTGGGAGAGACTTTTGGGAAGCACAAGCCAGGTGGGATGTACCTGA